CTCTCTCTCTCTCTCTCTCTCTCTCTCTCTCTCTCTCTCATACACACACACACACACACACACACACACGCACACACACACACACACACACACACACACACACACACACACACACACACACTGTGGTAATGCCAGAACCCTTGCTTGGACTGCAATCAGGATGATTCAGCTCATCATGGGTATGCACTGAGGCCCCGTCCACTGTAAATGAACGGATGTGTTTCACAACAGAAAGGAATGTTGGCCCGGAAACGAGGACTTCCTCCATCCGGGAGGCGGGCATTGGTTATCTGCTTGGTTGGCAGACTATCAGGCCAGTGACATGCCTTCTCATCATCCATCGGCGGTACATCGGCAACGCAATTCCGTGACAGTCACAACCCCCAAGGACGCTGTTGGTTTGAGAAAAGATAGACGACCGCGTGCCGCTATCTATCGGTTGCCAGACAATCTATATGCCACTGTACACTACCATTGAGCTAATGGCCAAAACTTTCAAATAGCAAACGGTGTGGCGGATGACCAATGCCAGGCAATCATCTTATACTGCATCAGTTAAACAGACATGTCGTATACGATAAGCAGTGTGGTAATGAAGAATGTCGCTTTATATGTATCAAAATCAATCAAATCGCCAGGCATCAATTTTGGAGTCGACCACCGTTCATCCCATACCATAAATTGTCACTAATTTATACTTTCGTATTCGTCACAGTGCATTGCTGATGCAATACCAATTAGATGGATGAATGATGGCCATAATCATGTCCAGGTGCAGCGCATGTCTCACTTTTCATTCCCATGTGAACTGGAGTGCAGTAGCAGCACCAACCGCTATGCACCCCAGCCATGACCCGTGCTATTCGCGATGATATGACATCAGTGCTTTTGCTGCTCCCCCTCAAGATGATGTCTGTCATTCCGCATGAAGTGGCATTTCACTCTATGATGATCATGACACCGTGCATTTTGCAAAATTTGCGATCAGTCTATGCACCGCCACTCCCCACTGTGCACTTGCAATTTGCATTGCGACCCGTCCAATGCGCTCAAAATACGCTCAAAATGCCTCAATCCCATGTAATGCCGCACTGCTGAGGATCAGATCGAAGAGTCAGATACAGTCTAGAAGCATCAATCTCTCCTCATCGTTTGCATTCCGCAATTTGCAACCAGCCCATGCGTCCATGCCACAATACGATGTGATACGGCAATGATGACGACGAGGACAATGAAGCGTGAATGATGTGGTGCATTGCCGATTCACTTGTATGCGATAACAACATGAGATAGAGGGGTCCCACACATCAGTCTGTTATCATGGGGTGTATTTCCAATGGCATGTCAAATGCTTCTGCTGTTGATGCTGATTCATGCGCATGATGCTGATGCTGATGATGCCGACACTCCCCATCATCCCCTACAGCAAGAGTCTGTCATCATGGGGGGCATTTCCGATGGCATGTCATATGCTTCTGCTGATGATGCTGATGATGCTGATTGATGCGCATTATGCTGATGCTGATGATGCCGACACTCCCCATCATGCCCTAGAGCAAGAGGTTGCATTATACATTCCTGTTGATGTCATCGCTCGTCCTTCATTTGGGGTTGCATTGCTGCTACAGATACCCCATTGGCTGCTCCGCCCGCCGATGCATCGTTCGCAGCACCCATAGCAATATAATGGCTGGCATTCGGGCAAGGTCCTCCTGGAGGTGGGGTCCCTCCTGGACTTCCTGAACCAGCCATGCCATCCCTCTTCTTCCCGAACGGATTCTTCGAATACATGCTGAGGAGTCAAGGAATTCTCATCGAATTCTCTCTACAAATACGGACCACACAAAGCAGGAAAGTTGCATTCCAAGCATACAAACCGCATGGATGGATATATGTCTTCAATTTGTCACGTATCTATCAACCAAAAAAACAGACTTCACGAAGCAAATCAAGCAAAGAGCAGACTGCTGCAGGAGGACGAGATAGCGAGGAGGACGGCATCTTCTTCTTTTTCTTCTAGCGCCCTCCATCTCTTCTTCTTCTTCTTCACAGAGAGAGAGAGAGAGGGAGAGAGAGAGAGAGAGAGAGAGAGAGAGAGAGAGAGAGAGAGAGAGAGAGAGAGACGTTAAAGGCAGAGGTTACATCGGGTATAAGGCCCAGGATCTGATTCGACATTTTTACGGCAGACATTGATTGGACATTCGGCAGGGAGACTATTTTTGGACTTCGATATCGCGATGTTGGTCTTCTCCCTCACCTCCATCTTTGTCCAGCCTCTCCCCCATCTCTTCATCAGTGGTATCTCCCCCAATTGCGTGTGCAAGGAGGGACCTTTCTTCCATGTATGCGGTCCCTCCTCCCTCTCTCACATGTGTGGTGTATGATGGGATGTCGCATCAGTCTCTGATAGGTCAGGTCATATCTTTGAGTCTTCTAGGTCAGGTCATATCTTTGAGTCTTCCGCTGCGCTACATTGTGCTATTTTCACATGTATCTGGATGTACATTGCTTGTTGATGCTTTGCTGAGGCTGCATTGTCCATTTGAGTCCTTTTCATCACTTTGCGGATCCTTGGCTCCATATACATCGCTCAGCTGAGCATGTATCACTCTCTCTCTCTCTCTCTCTCTCTCTCTCTCTCTCTCTCTCTCTCTCTCTCTCTCTCTCTCTCTCTCTCTCTCTCTTTTCGGTTCTTGAACTTTTGTCGTGGGAGCGAGATGAGGTGCACATGTGTGTGTGTCATGTGTGCTGTTGTTGTTGTTGTTGTTGTTGTTGTTGTTGTTGTTGTTGTTGTTGTTATCTGTAACCGGACAACCGGGCACTGGCGCACCCAACTGGACTGTCCGGGTCCGGTTGTCCATATGTCCAGTTACAAGTCCGGTTAAACGGACGTCCGGTTTAATCCCGACACGGGTCCGGTACAAATGTCCGTCTGGTTGTCCGGATGACCGTGTCGGGGGCGACCACGGTTCATTCATTTTTCCGTCCGTGGTTTTGGGGGAGTGTAGAGGAGAAGCAGAGCGCCAATCTTGGCAGTGTGCTCTGGAAGGAGAGGGTTTGTGTGTAGCCATAGCCAGTGTGGTCTGGCTCCATACTGAATGGTTTTGAGTGCCGTTTGTTGCAGACTGCTCAGTGCAGCCTGGCCCTCAAGTAGACATCACCTTTTTTCATGTTCATCAAGTGTGCTGGTGTGATTGAGCAATATGAGCTTGTTGTAAAGCTTCTCTCCAATAGCCATCTTCAAGATTTGGTCTTCACTTCAGTTTGTTTGAGTGCTGCGCATGGAAAGAATTTGAAGCTTGCCAGCTTGGCAAATTCCTAACACATCTGGACTGATTGCACATTTTGAAAGTATCCGACCTCTAACAGGTCCAGATACATTTAGTATGACGTGTAGTGGAGCATGGACCATTGTCACATACGTGTAAACTACACTTTGTAAAGCAATCAATGAAAATAGCAGATAACAGTAAAAAGAGTGAAACCGTTCTTTTGCCTCGTGCTATGCAGTTCTTCCCTTTCTTTCCTTCCTTTGGCTTTTTTCGTGGTTTCTCTTTTATTTCTTCTTTTAGCTCCACCCCTCGACTGCTCCTCTAACGTACAAGGCTAGCCACGTTGATGTAGTCGAGCGTGAGCTAACCCCTGTGTGCCATAACGGCCCGCTTGCACGCCGTGAAAAAGAGGCCGAGTAAAGGGAGAGGGGAGAGTGACGGAAGGAAGACGAAGGAAAAGCAACGACTACAAAATGAAAGATGAAAGCGTAGGGAAGGATAAGAGAAGAGTCATGAGTCAGTCTGTCCTTGAGTACAGAGACGGCATGCAATGTAGGGATGAGTTGGATGACGACGAGGAAGACCTAGCTGAGCATTCCCAGCACAACAATTGCCACGATGGCTAGCATTCACCATGACCACTAAACACTACCGACAAATTGCAAGTCATTCACAAGCTAACATGCATCAAAGACGACCATGCATTGATTATAGCGTCCATGGCCACAAAATGGGCATATGGTCCCTGGATATGGAGGGTGCATGCAGTCAGGAAACAAGGTACCGCCCTCTGCACAAGCAGATGCAGAAACCCTTGCACCAGCAGTGAATCGGTCTGAGACGCATGAGACCCACACAACTTCTTCTATGCTTCTTAAACCAGCAGTACCTCGCCCAGCTACCCTGCGTACACCAGCAATTCATCCTACTGGAGGAAAAGGCCGGAGGCACCCGGAATAATCTCTCCGGTGATGCTCTAGAATTTCAGGCATGGCCAAAATCGGGCATCGGAAATAGGGGCTTCGAGGTGCTGGTTGTTCAAATCAACCGTGCAAGCCACCTCGGATACCTGCATTCATAAACAAGCGGGTTGCAGGTTGGACTGATACTGGCCTGGTGGCCCCCAACGGAGAAACAACATCGGCAGTGCCCACCTCTGACAAGCGTCAGCGCCAATCATGACGGTCAGAGTCCAGGGCTTCTGTCCACAAGACTGCGCGCCTCCACGAACATTTAGAGCTTCCACAGTGGGCAAAATAGATCACATTCAACAAAATAGGTTCTGCTTCACCGGGGTTTTCACCAGTGTGAAATTACTAATGGCCTTCAGGATACTTCCAAAGGGTGGTAATAATGGCCTCCAGGATACCCAAGATCGCAGTATAATGGGCTCAAGGATAGCCAGGAGAATATTAGTCGTCAACTGGAAAAGGCCCATATCCGAGGCGCCTCATCAGACTGCATTTTGTTTTGTTTTTTTTATTGAAATCCACCACCAGCTCGGCTCATTCTTTTCACCTTCGTGCATGCACTCGTGCTAGATAGTGCCCTGTAGTTCTTTTGTTTTCTTTCATCAGGGCCTAANTTATTGAAACCCACCACCAGCTCGGCTCATTCTTTTCACCTTCGTGCATGCACTCGTGCTAGATAGTGCCCTGTAGTTCTTTTGTTTTCTTTCATTAGGGCAATTAGGCCCTGTCGATCCTGATCAGTACCTTTCTCTAATCAGTTCCATTGGCCCGGCCAATCCTGACGAGTATTTTGCTCTTTTCCGTTGTTCTTTTTTTTGTTGACAGTGAGCCAGTCTTTTGGAATATTCAGCAACCAGACTTCCTGCTTGTCCAGATACACTTCAGAAGGAGAACCAGGCCAGGTTGCGCAGAGTGTTCACGAAGGCGTTGGGGTCATCGGTTGGAATCGCACGCGGAACAAAGAGCTGAAAGAGAAACAAGAGACGCCATAGCTGACACAAGACTAGACAAGAGAGAAAACGCATCATCCAACACAGAGGGGGAAGGGGGTTAGGGGAAGGGATAACAACGATAGCGTCGATAGGGACAAATACCGAGCAGAGAAACGAGGGAAGCCTGGGATGAAACGAAGAGTAGTTGAGACAGAAGCACAGCATGCAACTTGATAGGAGCTCATCTGCAGGAGGACTCGCTTGGAGCACCAGAAGAAATGCACTAGGCTTGACCGGACATCAAGCCAAACTCCGACGCCGAAAAGACAACAAAACGAATGCAAACTTGATTCCGTGCTAAGTACAGTCGAAAGGATATTGAATCCGCATCCCGCCTCGATCGGACGTGCTAAGTACAGCACCCTGCAGATTTGTGTGGACAAGCATGGCGCTATTGATGTCCTGCAAAAGCAACCAACACAAGAGAGTTAAAGAACGCGCTCACAGGTAGGTGTGCACCGCCTGGCTGCCCCCCTCAGTCCCCACGGTATGGCGGCTAAAGCCACAGGAATGTGATGCCGATCTGGTTTCTGAATCTCTCTTCTTTGAGCTCTCTTCTATGTTCGCCAGTGATAAGCAACTGGACTGCTAGCCCCCCCGGAATAGATGGGGCCTTTGTTATAAAAAAAAAAAAAAAAAAAATGCGCTCAAGTAGGAGCTGACAAGCCAGACAGAGAAGTCAGAGAAGTCGAAAAAAAGAGAAGTTGTGAAATCTCAAGTTCTCTCGACTGATTGAGCGACACACCGTCGCAAACAGAACTTTGAAGCTTGAACTCACAGCTGGTTGACTTTAAAAAAAAGGTGCAGCTGAAAAACAGGTTATGGGTAGCTTACCACAAACTCAACAAAACAGACTGTGCTCGCAGCTTGACGTAAAACTTTCATTTGCCGGAAACCTGGCTGACTGAAACATAACAACCACAACATCGGCAAGAATCAGAGGCTCGCAAACATACAGAAATGCATCGATAACAGAGGTAACGAACACCACAGCCAATAACGGTCTCACACAGGCAACTGATGACACACAGATAGTGGTTTTGTTTTTTTTTTTTTTTTTTTTTCCCCGAGCACTAGTACCTTTGTCGGTTCAAAACATAGTGGACCTCCAACTTTTCAGGAGGCCGAAACGAAATGACGGCCGCCGATCAGATTTATCAACGGCAGCCGTTGTTGGGCCCGGCCTCTTAAAAGTTTGCAACTAGGCTAAAACTTGTCGAAACCGGACGGCAAAGGTAGTAGTGGTTTGACAAAGGCCCATCTATTCTGCGGAGCATCAGTCCGGTTACTCATCACCGGCAAGCCAAAAGTACACGAGAAGCAGTTGAAGAGGAAAAGAAAGAGTAGATCAGATAAGAGTCAGATACAGCACCCTTGCAGCTCTAGACGCTTACACAAGGGGGCGGTTGCTTCGGCCGCTCTGCCCCCGAACCATGACTCATTTGCAGGGTGCACTTGCTGGCCGGGAAGCTTTTAGCCTTTTACTGGCAGCTGCAATGAGCCCAGACGTGATGATACTCGTCAACATTACCAGTCCCTATGATTATCGATCTGCTGATGAAATGACAAACAATCGTAATATGTGTGATGATAGAATGAGGTGAGAAT